GGTTGCCGCGGGTGCCGCGGTCAGCGGGAACCTCTGGCTGTCACATGAGGCCACCGCAGGCAGCAGCGCCTTCAGGGGGCTGGTTGGCAGCGGCACCGGAGCTCGGTGCTCTCAGGGGCATGTGGTTTCCTCCTCTTCGGAAAGCCTCGGCTTTGAGGCAGAAATTAGGTAACGATTAGAAGAAAAATCAGGCTGCTGCTTTAAAGTCACCCTCGGGAGGAAGAAGGTCTGTGCTGAAATATAGAAGGGGGCATCAGGGGCTCTGCAAAGGGCAGTTCCCGGTGCCATTAACCGCCTCCCCCTGTAAAACTGATAAGCAAATTTCTTGTGCTATATTTATAACAGTGCCACCGTCTGATGCCATGAATGTCCACAGTCCAGGAAGGTAAAAATGTTGGGGCCAGCTGGAGCATGTTCCTCTTGGCAGGGTTTGCTGGGACAGTTTCCTCTTTAAAAGAGAAAAAAAATACTCTTTATGAGGGCTTGAAAGCCCAAAGGCAGGCTATAAATTTTGTATCCTCTCTGCATTTATAAAATATAAATGCTGGTGACACTCGTGAGCTGAAAGCCCAAACAACCGGCCTCTGGGACTGGAAGGATCCAGCTCTCATGTGGGGTGGAAAATGGCTTTTCCAACCTCCAGATAGGCTGCGGTCCGGGGACAGATCCCTTCCAGGTGATGCTCCCCAGCATCCTGACCCGGCTCTGGTGGGCAAAGCTCAACCAGGATTTTCCAACTGGGGTCACGTCTCAGATGAAATCTCTGTCCTGCTGCTTTTTCTCCTTTGGTTATTTTAACACAGCAGCGTCAGAGCGCCCAGCCAGTGGGAAGCACTGACTCGGCACTTTGGGGATGAGTGGCTCCTTGAGCAACACCCGGAGCCGGTTCCTGCTCGTCATCCACATGGGGTGCCAGATGCGGAACGGGGCCGAAAAACCCAGCAGTGGGAAATTCATTCTGCAGGGACACAGGGGCACTTTCTCTTAAACTAGCTCCTTCCAAACTTTAGCTGAATCCCTTTAGGGACTGATGGAGGCATGTAGTTTATTCCCTATTTTTCTTGGGCTGCATATCAGACTGGCAGTATCTGGACCCTTTGCTGAAATTTTTGCTCCGCACCAGGTGTAAATTCAGAATTTAACCAAAAATCAGCTTGAAAATGAAAAGAGCTTGAGCTGGGGCCATTTTGAGGGGGCTGCATTCCCAGCTGATGCTCTCTGGTCCAGCATCATTGGGTCCCAGCCACCTTTGCGGCAGCATCCCCAGGCTCATGGATGCCATCGAGTTGCGTTTGGGTGCCGTCTTGAGAGGCTTTTCTTCATCAACAGCCCCGGGGCTGGCTGGGAAGAAAACTGACCTGACGCACAGGGCCCAGACACTGCGGTGATGGGCTTCACTGAAAACCCCGGTGCTTGGCTTCAGGTCCCCAAACTCTGTCCTTAGGGTGAGCATCTGAGCCCCAGTTTCTCCTCTCTGATGCCAGAAATAAAGTGACTTGTGGCATGTCCCCGCTCTGAGGGAAGCTGAGGGAGGTGGTGACAGCATGACGTCTTTTCCGGAGGGGTCCAGGCACGACCGTGGTGGAAACGGGGCTGTGTTCACACCCGCTCTCTTCCTCCCCGTGGTTCTGCCCCTTATCTTCTTCCTCCTCCCGTCTCTGCCGGCCTTGCCCCTCATTTCAGTTCCTCCTTCCCAAACTAGTTCAAGTTGCTGACAGCAGGGCTGGGAGTGGTGGCCGCTGATGGCCCCAAATTGATATGATGAATTAATAAATACCTGGGTGGTTTTTGGGGTGTGCAGGCAGGGATGCCCTGCCTGCATCCCGCGCATCCCGCTCTGTGCCCCAGCCCAGCGCGACCCCAGTGCCCCAGCCCAAGAAGGCCGGGTTTGATGCCGGGCTGGTGACTTCATCTCTTCCGGGGGTCAAAGCAGCGAGAATAAAGCCGGGTTTGTTCCCCTCCCACGTGCCAAGGCAGGATGCGACCCAGCCCAGGGCCTCGGGGCGCTGCTGGGAGGGAACATGGCACCCCCCGGTCAGTGCATCTCACTGGGATTTAGGAGCCGGCGGGAGCTCTTGTGTCCCGGAGTGCTGATGGGCTTTATCTTGCAGGAAATAGATTTATTTTATTTCTTTTGGATCCCGGGCCTGGGAAGCTCCCAGGGCTGGATGTTTCCACACATGGGTCATCAGGCGCCGTGGGAGAGCGGGGCTCTGGCTGCGCAGCCCCCAGTGCTGCTGGGGAAGGGACTGGGATGCTCTCTGAGGTGTGAGCCTGGGGCTTGGGGGAGCTGCTCCTTGCTGGCCAGATCCCCTCACTGCCCCATGCCTCAGTTTCCCCCTTGGTGCTGCAGGGACCGTGAACCACCTTGCTGGCAGCCCCCCGGAGGTGGGCAGAGGAGGCTTTGCAGGATGAGGCTGGGAGGATTTTGCAAGGCAGTGGCAGTTGTACACGTGCTGGGCAGAGGGTTTGAAGCTTCTCCTGCCACTGGTTCCCAGCCAGCCGCCACAGTGCAGTACCTGCCCCTGGCTGGGGAACAGGCTCCAGCTGCTCCTGGGGGTCATCTCCACTCCCTTCCCATCCCCGGGCTGTACAGTACCGTATTTTTCCTTGCTCCATTGATGCAGATGCTGCGGTGGCCACCCAGCAGTGTCCGTGCAAATACCTTATAATCTGGGCGAGCTGCTCTGCGCTAGTCCAGTCCCTGGCTGAAGCGGGGCTGAGCAGACCTGGAGCTCCTGCAGATGGGTTTTTGCATCAGTTTGGGGACGTTTTGGAAGCAGTGCCTCAGACGAGACCTGCTCCTCTTTGTGGTAGAAGAGATGCTCACGTAGCCTGGGGAGCGTCCTTTGCCAGGGGGCTGCTCCCTGTGCATCATCCTTACACAGCCCTCCCCACCGTGCCTGGTTCTCAGTTGTCCTTTCCCCTTGCAGGTCTCATGGTACCAAGTGACGTGTCCCCGCCGTGAGATTCGCGCCCCCCAATCTCCTGAGAAGATGTCAGGGATGCAGGTAAGCCCCGGGTGGGGAGGAGAGGCAGGGATGGAGCAGGCTCTCTAGCCTCTCCATTTGCTTCAGAGATGGCCCCAGGGCTGAGGAGGGACATGGGGACACTTGGCCCCATCCCCCCATGCCCCTGCCTAGCACCACAGGGACCTGCGGTTTTGTGTGTCCCCTCCGTCCCTGTCCCCATCCCAGCTGAAAAACGTCATCTGAGCTTCCAGGGCTGCCCCAAATCCCCAAAAATGCTTCTGGTTTAAGTGAAACCCGCATCAGAAGGACGGGAGCCCCCATTTTTTCAGGGGGTCCCCGGGGAGCGGGGGAGCAGGGGTGGAGACATGCCTACCCTGGCTCTGACAGCGTCCCCCTCTCCCCGGCCAGGCCGTTTGGCCATCCGGTACAGAATGTATTGCCAAATACAACTTCCACGGTACCGCCGAGCAGGACCTGCCCTTCAGCAAAGGAGACGTCCTTACCATTGTTGCTGTCACCAAGGTAAGGCCATCGCCTCCCCGTGGCCCCCCAGGCTGCTGCTGCCTCCCCCCTCCCGGGATTTCCACGGGATGCCGGGAGCATCCCTGCTTCCTGCGACACGGTGTTTGTCGTGCCAGTGGGATCCCCTGGTCCCACTGGAAGTCCCGCAGAGCCAGCAGGGCAGGAATCGGGCCATGCAGTTGGTTAATTAACTCACGGCCTTGTTAGTTAAGGTTTCTCTGAAATGTAAGCCTCTCGAGTGCCTCCCAGGAGGTGGAGGAGGGAGGGGAGAGGCTCGCAACTGGGGAGCAATGCTGTGCTCTGCACCAGGGGAGAAAAAGAGAGAGGCCATGGGTTGGGGGTCTCCGGGGTACCCAGCAGCTTGGGAGGGGGATTGCAGTGACCTCTGCAGGGCCACCAGCATCGGGGTTTGCTGGCCCCAGCACCGACCCCAACCTTTGCGGCTGGCCCCCCGGCCTGCAGCCAGGCAGGGGGGGCTGGGGTGCTTGGGGCCATGCAGGCAGCTGGCTGGGAAAGGAGGGGCAGCGCTGACACCCCCGTGGGCTCCTTTGGTGGGATGCTGCTATCTCTGGGGGCCACAGGCTCATCATGACATCTCTGCTGTCCCTGCAGGATCCCAATTGGTACAAGGCAAAGAACAAGGTGGGCCGGGAGGGCATCATCCCTGCTAACTACGTGCAGAAGCGGGAAGGAGTGAAAGCTGGGATCAAACTCAGCCTCATGCCGTGAGTATCCGCTGGGGCTCTGCCGAGGTGAATGTGGGGGGAGCCGGCTTGGTCTGGAGTATCCCCACTGTGTCAGACCAAAGACCCGGTTGACCCCATGTCCCAACAGAAGCAACATCCCTTGCAGGGCTTAGCGAGGTTGAAAGGCAGAAGGGGCAGGGGCTTGGGCTTTCCCAGCAGCATTGATTTGGGACCTGCTGCTGCTGAGGAAAGCTCTGAGCACCTTTGGAGCTGCCTGCAGAGCTGGGAAGATGACGGATGGTTGGATTGCATTTCAAAATGGGTCTTTTACCCAAAGTTGAGGTTGTCAATGCTGCTGGGAGGAAGAAGGGGGGTTGGAATGGGCTCTGTATGGGAGGGCTAGGAGATAGGCAGGCAGATAGATAGATGATAGGTGGATGGATCCCAGGTTGTGATGTCCCTGCTGCATCCCAGAGCCAGCAGTGACTCCCAGCCTGGAGGAGCTGGGGCTGCTGTGGGGAGGAAGCGCCCAAGAATGTGCGGAGGGGCTGAGTCCCCAGTTGGGGACCAGGAGGAGGGGAGCAGGATGCCATGGAAGGAGCTGTGTCATGGGGTGGATGAGGGCAGCAAGGAGGAGCACAAGCAAGCTGGCCCCGTGCAGGCAGGGATGAAGGCTGCTCCACATCCCCATCCCCTCCAAACACAGCCCCATGGGGGTCCAGCCAGTGCGTCCCTGGTCCTTGACCTGCCCTACGTGCCCTGTTGCAGGTGGTTTCACGGGAAGATCACGCGGGAGCAGGCGGAGCGGCTGCTGTACCCACCCGAGACGGGGCTTTTCCTGGTGCGGGAGAGCACCAACTACCCCGGGGACTACACACTGTGCGTCAGCTGCGAGGGGAAGGTGGAGCACTACCGCATCATTTACTCCTCCAGCAAGCTGAGCATCGATGAGGAGGTCTACTTCGAAAACCTCATGCAGCTGGTGGAGGTGAGGTCTCAGCTGCCAATGGGAGCTGCCACCGCTCCTGTCCCCAGCCTGGGGACCATAGGTTTGACATTGGGGGACACATAGGGGTCAGAGCTTGTGGTGCTGCAGGTCTGGAGCCTAGGTGATGGTGGGACCTTCTATGCCGACCCTGTGGGTTGGGGCTGCTGGGGACAGACCCGTGGGGCAAGGCGGGGCGCGGGGGCAGGATGGGGGGGTGT